GTAGTCTGTCTATTCTGGGGCTTCATCTACTGAGGCTTCAGCTTCTAGGTGGGGATGCCTGCCTTTCCTTCCTGCCCTACCAATGCCTTTTCTCCATTCAGCTAATTAAAAGTGGGTGAAACTCCAGTTAGGCGTGTTGCTGCTTTTCCAGAGGAAGAGACTGGCTATGAGCTGAGAATACTGGTTCCAAAAGAGACATTCGATTTAGGCAGACTCAGGAAATGTCACTTGTGTCTATTTCACTCCTCCACTGACACAGTTATCTACACATGTTGGGAAAAGCAATTTTCCTATGAAGCACAAGCGCCCCACTGCACTGGTACTGGAGCTGTCGTGGGGCCTCTAGGGGAAGCCACAGTCCCTGACCTGGCACAGATGCCTGCTTGGGAGCTAGCCTGTCCCAGTCAGGTACCTGGCCCTTTTGGATTTAGTGCTGAGGAAGCACAGTTCTGCACGGACCAATCCTTCAATCTCTACAGTCACATCTGAGCCATCACATCCAATCTGGGGCACTGCAGTCTGCTGATACTTCTCCAAATTACCTATGCAGCCAGACCTCTCCTATGAACTCCAGATTCTAATGCCCAATTGCCTTCTCGATTAAAAATCCAAAAGGCATCTCAGACTTAAGACACCCAAAATCTGCCCATGTCTAACTCCTCTCCTCTCCCCATCTCCTAATCTACCCTTCCCATGATGTTCTCCATCCTTTCCATTGCCCAGGTCCAATTTCTCACAGACAATCCTCACACTTACACCCCTCACCAAAATTGTCACCATTTCCTGTCAGTCCTGCCTTAAAGACAGGTCCAGAATCTGACCATTACTATCAGCTGGATGAATGCAGAGGGTGGCATTCCTCTGGATGCTTCATGGGGAAATCCATTCTCATAGCTTCTTCAGCTTCTGAGGACTGCCTGCATTTCTTGGCTCATGGTCTCTTCCATGCATGACTCCACCCTCATGATTCTGTCATCAAATCTACTTTGTACTCTCTCTTATCCTCCTGCTTCCCTCCCCTAAGGACTCTATTACCATACTGGGCTTACCCGGGTAATGCAGAATAATATCCCCATCTCAAGATTCTAAATCACATCTGTACAGTCCTTTTACCATGTGAGGTAACATATCCCCAGGTGCTGGTGATTAGGACGAGGGCATCTTTGGGCCATTATTCATGCCCCTACACTATCTCACCCTGAGTAAAGGCCAAAGACCTTACAATGCACAGAAGTTCCCACAAGATGTAGTCCCCACTTCCTATCTAAGCTCATCTCTCCCAACTCTCCCCTCTGCTCACTCAGTCCCAGCTACACTAATCTTGCTGTTATCCCTCAACATGGTAAAGGGATACCTCATTCCCTGGCACTTGCTATTCCCTCAGCCAGAGAAGCTCCCTCTCTAAGGTCTTTGCTTAAATGACACCATCATAGTAGTGAAGCTTTCCCTGCTGACTCTGTAATAGAGCAGCACTGCCCTACGCCCAATATAAACATTCCCTCCCATGCTGGTTTTTCTTCCTAGAGCATTTATATCTAATACGGTATCCATCCATCATCCATTCATCCTCTCCAACTAGAATGCCACAAGGTATACTTCATCTCTTGTTGTATCTCCAGAAAATAAAACATGAAACTAGGGCTCAATAAACAGTTGTTGAATATGTGAATTTTACTTTATTCAAAAAGTAAGTTCCTTGGAGACAAGACCTGGCCTAAAGAAGGAACTCAGTAAATGTATGAATGAATGAATAAATGGATGTGTAAATGATAGATCCAATTTAAATCTAATTTTCAATGGATAAACAGGACTAACATCAAATCAAGTGAGTTACTCTGTAGGAATCGGACATAACAGTTAAAGTAGCTTATTCAGGGTTACACAACAAAAGGAACATAATAAAATTACATGTGAAACTCCATTCAAGCATCTGACTTTATTTTGCTGTATCCGTGAATATTCTTATATCTGACAGGTCAGAATCCAATTGGATTCCCTTGTTTTGCCCCAATACTCTAATCAACAAGGTTTCCAGTTAATAAACTCTCAACTTATTTTTAAAGGAAATTTCATAGAAATCTCCAAAGCACTTAACTTGCTTTTCAGATACATAAAAAATATACAGGGAAAAAACCATTATCCACACTTTAAAATGCACCCAGAGCAAACTTGCAGCCAGTGGATGCTAGTGGGATAGATACAGGAAGGTTCAAGGACAGCAGGTCCCTTACTGGCCCTGAGCCATATGAGCACCTTGTGCATCCAACACACAGACAGGCACTCCTGCTGGGGCTGGGTGTTTTCTGGGGAAATAAGGACAGCGACAGTGCAGCTGGCACTGAGTGGAAAAGGGGAACAGCAATCTGTTTCCCAGAGGCCATCTCATCAGCATTTTACAGGTTTACCCTAGCCCCGCTGCTCAGCCATGTGACTGGCCATATTGTGTCATCTGTCCCCCTGCCATAGCCTGGGGCAGAGAGCAGTGCTACATAGTATTCACACTCAGAAACCATTTTCTAGGAATCCCTCTACTGGCACAAATGGGAAGGAGGACCACACACAGGTTAGGAATGTGGACTTGGAGGACAGTCCGTCAGAGTTCAGATCACACCTGTGACTCACTGTGTCCCTAAGAACGTGCCACCTCTCCTCACCTCTAAAAAGTCAGCTTACTGTGCTTATGACGATGACAGGAGAGAACACATGCTGGCTAGTAATATTATTATATCACTATTTATTACACTTGATTTTTTTCCCCAAAAAATCAGTGTTTAAAAATAAGTAATACATCTGTTTTCATCTTGAGGCTATATTTATAATAGAAACTCCCAGAGGTTTATCATTTATTTCCAGCTAAGTGTTTACCTATAATTAGGGAAAACTGCTACCAAGCAGATATTAAGATTAAGCTTTCCTAGATATGGCTCACACAAAAAAATAAAGTTATTTACAGACTGTCTCCTTAATTTCATTGCTGTATAAAAAACATGTAAGTTGTTATCAGAGAGTTTAACAGAAATGTTAGACAAATATGATAACATGCAGTATTTAAATAGGATAAGCAATGTAAGATTTTAAGATATAAATACATAGATATATGTAGGTTCAACTAGATTTTTTTCTAAAATATTATTGATATAAATAATTGATTAATCTAATAGCCTACACTGCCTCACTTCTTGACAAATAAAGGTAAAACAACAAAATGCACTTTATTTTTCTCCTAATAGACAAGGTAAGGTAAGAGGCCACAGGGGCCACTTGAGTGACCAGGCAGAGTAGTAAGATTAATTGAGGATGCACCAAGTGAGCTTTACCAAATTAGACAAGAACTAGTCTCCTGCAGGGAAATTCTTATTTCACAGGTTGGAAGGTACTCCTATTGTGCAAAAGCTGGCCTGGTATTACCAAGGCTAACACCTGTGGTTACCAATCACTGTATAGAATCTTTCTTTTGAAAGAAGTTTTCTGCCTTCAAATATTTGTGTTCAGGCCAGTGTGGCTTAGTGGTTGAACTTTGATCCATGAACCAGGAGGTCAAAGTTCAATTCCAGTCAAGGGCATATGCCCGGTTGTGGGCTTACTCCCAAGTATGGGGTGTGCAGGAGGCAGCTGATCAATGATTCTTTCATCATTGATGTTTCTTTCTCTCTCCCACTTCCTTCCTCTCTCCGAAATCAATAAAAATATGTATTTTTTAAACAGTTTACAAGGATATTTTCTGGATCCTGTAGCCTGATCCTAAAGTGAGATTGGGCTACTTGTAACTCAGAGAAGGGGAGATGCTGAAAAGCAGCACAACTCTCTCTAGATCTTTTACACTGACAAAGGAGCTCAAGGATATGGGAAAAGTGGTGATATAACTTTCCATCTGTTCCATGGAAGCATGTGAATGCTTTTCCTTTAGAACAGAGCTGCCCAACAGAATTTCCTGTGCTGATGGAAGTGTCCTCTATCTGCGTTTTCCCCACGTGGCTACTGAACCCTTGGTATGTGGCTCGTGGCTTGCATGTTGAACATTAAATTATGTTCACAGCTCTGAACAGAAGTCAGACTGCCTGCTCGTAGCCTTTCCAAAACCTTGCTAGCTTATCCGAGAGTCTCACTTCACTAATCATTCAGGACATATTCCTTGAGCACATGCCCCATGTACACAGTAAGCAGAGGAGAACAAATATAGAAGCCCTGCTTGAGTGAGCTTACATTGGGTAAGTGTGTTTTTTAAAATGATGGTATTTTGGGGCAGAAAAGCAAAGTCTTAGTTTGAGAAATAACGCAGTTAGATGTATAGAAGAAATGAGAGGATGCCGAGGGTGTGCATAAACAAAGTGAACTCATGAGCCTTTTCTGAAAGACTAGCATTGCCTAGTAACAGAAGAACAGCTTTGGATGTTATTTCTGAGGAAGGTAAGAAGCCACAGGGGCCACTTGAGTTACCAGGCAGAGTAGTAAGATTCAGCTGCCAATGGGAAACAGGATAGGACAGAGGAATTCCCAGCTAAACCACATTTCAAATTCCCACTGGAGGTGGAATCAGGAAAAAAACAAATTCATGACTGGAAAAGGTATTTAAGCAGCTGTAAGAAACACAACTATTTGGTAAGTTTTCAAGAAATTAAATTTAAAAAATACAGGATTAAAAAACGTAAGAGTGTTGGTTTGATCAAAACCCCACCCCAGCTAGTAAAGGAGGAGCCACAGATAAGAGAATTGCCAGGATCCGGGCTCTTTTCACTGCAGGGGCAGGAAGCTGGGCTGGGTCATCTCTCATCAGCCATTTCTGAGACAATGAAGCAGCAGCCACTGAATGCAGAGCCAGGGCAGGTCAAACCCGGCACAGCTGAATGCTGGTCAATGACAAACGCTAGTAAATGATCGAAACTGGGTGCCTCGGTGGAGGGTATTGCCAACAAGAGGAGAGAGGGTTGTTCAGAATTGCTGCATTTGGGTAATCGGAATTAATTAAATCCAGAAGTAAGCTCTTTCATCAGCAACCTTACCTAGTTCTGGGGGCAGAACGGTCAGACGGTTCCCCTGAATGTGAAGCTCCTTAAGCTGAGTAAGCTCCCCGATTTCCTTAGGCAGCGAGATCAGGTCGTTATCCCTAAGGCTGAGCTAAATACAAGAAAACAAGGAGTTGTCAAAACAATTTCACATAAATTCCCTTAAAGAGGCGTTCAACATAAACTCTGTCCTCTTTCATGCCCTCTCTTCTTTAAGCCTCAATCCTTTCAATTTATTTACAAGTGACTACAGATGAACAAGCAACAGCACCGAGAGGAGTGGTTTATTCCTGTAGAACAAACCCTACTCCTGCTCAAATTGACTTGATTCAAATCCAACAGAGGCTGCAGAAGTGAATTGATTTTCTCAGAATTTAGATAAATTACTTACTATCTGCAACTTTGTGAGCTTCCCAATATCTGGCGGCAGGATTTCAAAATCGTTGTCACTTAGATAGAGTGCACGCAGGGTGGCTGCAAATTAAACAGCAATATATAAACAGGGTGACATGGAACTCAACCATTTGAAGTCTGATCAATACAAGGGAGTCAGCTTTGATTAATAACCCTGGCTTGGTGAGAAGCCTGTGACATACCTAGGGCTCACAATAATAACAAGCAGGTCAAACTTAGATTTACTGGCTTATTGTGGGGCTGGTGTGTTCAGGAAAACATCTATATCCAAGAGGACTGACACAATTAACAATTGTGGGCACCAGTAGTTTTTGGCACAAAATGTCAATATACCATCAGAAAAGATAGCTATTTTTCTCCTATTACTTCCAATTCACATTTCTTACCCCATTTGCATCCAAAGTAAAACAAAGAAAGCCACTGTGTCACCTTTATCAATACTTAAGGCAAAAGGGTTCTTTCATGTAAAGAGAACTATCTTATATAATAAAAGAGTAATATGCAAATTAACCATTGCACCGCTAGACCCACGAGCCATGCCCACCAGCAAGTATGCAAATTAACCCCAATCAAGATGGCTGCAGCCACAGACCAAGCAGGAAGGAGGCTTGGGTTTCCCTAGAGATGAAGGAAGCCAAGCTTTCCACACACCCTGGCGGGGCCCAAGTCTCCACACAAGGCTATAAAGTTTCAATTATAGAAGATAAATAAATCCCAATATAAATGGTGGCAGCCATGGAGCTGGAGAGAGCAGGAAGCTAGGGTTGCCCCACAATGGAGGAAGCCAAGCTTTCCACCTGCCCTGGCCTGCCTTGGCCTCCTCGTAAGGCTACAAAGTTTCAATTGTAGAAGATAAATAAATCCCAGATACCAGGCCCTCCCTTGAGTCGTCGGGGTGTTTGGCCAGCCTGCAAACCACCGTAGGCCCTTCACCCAGGCTGCCTCCCACCCCAACGAAACCCCCACCCTGATCTGGGACACCCTTCAGGGCAAACCAGCTGGCCCCCACCCACGTACTAGGCCTCTATGCTATCTAATAAAAGAGTAATATGCAGATTGACCATCACTCCAATACACAAGATGGATGCCCCCATGTGATCAGAGATCCTGCTCCTATTTGGACGCAAGATGGCCACCACAAGATGGCCAGCAGGGGAGGGCAGTAGGGAGGGACCAGGTCTGCAAGGAGGGTGGTTAGGGGTAATCAAGCCTGTGGGGGAGGGCAGTTAGGGGTGAACAGGCTGGCAGGGGAACAGTTAGGTATCAATTATGCTGGCAGGGGAGTAATTAGGGGATGATCAGGCTGGCAGGCAGAAGCGGTTAGGAGCAATCAGGAAGGCAGGGAGGCGAGCAGTTGGGATTGTGAGACGGATCCCAAACTGGAGAGGGTGTAGTTGTGCTGATAGACATGCCACATGTACATAGTAAGCGAATTTCATGCACTGGGCCTCTAATCTATATATATAAAAGCCTAAGTGACCGTTACAACCAGTCAACTGAATGACTGGTCTTTATAATGACACACTGACCACCAGAAGGCAGATAGTCAATACAGGAGCTGCCCCCCTGGTGGTCAGTGCACTCCCATAGTCAACCTCCCACAGCCAGCCAATTCCCACAGTCCCTCCCCCTGGCCGGCTGGCCCTGATCGGAGCTAGACGAGACAGCCCCAATTTGTCCCAATTGCTGGCCAGGCTGAGGGACCCCACCTGTGCATGAATTCGTGCACCGGATCTGTAGTGTTAAAAATAAATCCAACACTAAAAGGCTTTCTGGTGGCGAAAGACATTATCACTGTTTATTGTTTCCATAATCAGACTCATTACAGTTGACCCCTGACCCATGAGGAGGTAAGAAGCAAGGATTTCCTATACAGTCAAAGATCACTACATAACTTTTGACTCCCCAAAAACTTAACTACTAATAGCCTCCTGTTGACCGGAGCTTTACTGAAAACATAGCTGATTAACACATATTTTATATGTCATGTGTAGTATATAGCATGCCAGTATTCTTACAATAATGTAAGCAAGAGAAATAAGAATCATAAGAGAAAATATATTTACTGTATTTATTTTTAAAATCTACATATAAGTAGACCTGCCTTTGAAGTTCAAGTGTGTATGTTCAAGGGTCAATTATATTATTATTTGTTTCTATGGCCTTAACAACAAATATAAACAAAGATAAAGGGGCTAAAATAATGACATGGAGTCTAAAAATAGAGAAAACACTAACTTAGGCAGAATACCAATAATCAGAAATTTGTTCACAGTATTATACAATGGAAACATGATCCAAACTACAAAAACCCCAATGAATCTTTTTATCCTCAACCAAAAAAAAAAAGTATAAGCAGAAGTATGTTTTCTTGTTGCAATCATTTACATTCTAATGTTTTAAAATTTGATAGAATTGTATATTAATTTACATAATAAAAACAATTTATTCCACTGCCCAAGAAAATATTTTAGAGTTGTTTTCACATACTTGAGGAAGTCCAAGAGAAGGCATAGATAAGGTAAAAAAAAATGTTACTTTAGAAACTAGCTCAGAAAATTCAGTATTTCTGGGTGCCACATATGTCATTATTTGGACAAACAGAACACTCATTGAAGTAAAGTAACTCTTTCCTAAATATTTCACAAGTTCTCGAGAAAATAAGTTTTCCCTAATATTTACAAGCATTTGCAACAAGAATCTGTTTGCAATATGAAAAGTCAAAGAGTGTTTAATTATATTCTATCAACAAAATAGAATACATCAATAAGAGCACTTTTTAAAAATAAATCAAAATATTTATTGATTTCAGAGAGAAAGGGAGAGGAAGAGAAAGACAGAAACATCAATGATGAGAGGGGATTATTGACTAGCTCCCTCCTGCATGTTGGATTGAGCCCTCAACCCAGGCATGTGCCCTTGACAGGAATCGAACCTGGGACCCTTCAGTCTGCAAGCCGATGCTCTATCCACTGAGCTAAAGTGACTAGGGCTGTAGTCAGCAAACTGAGGCTCTTTGGCCTCTTGAGTGTGGCTCTTCCACAAAATACCATGGCCTGGGTGAGTTGAAATATTTTGAAGAAGTGGCATTAGAAGAAGTTTAAGTTTAAAAAATTTGGCTCTCAAAAAAATTTTTTTCCAATAGTTGTACTGTTGATATTTGGCTCTGTTAACCAATGAGTTTGCTGACCACTAGGCTAGGGCATTAAGTGCACTTTTAAAAAGGATTAAAACAATAATCATGGCTGGACATTTTTAAAATTCTGTCAGTGGTTTATTGATAGATATTTTTATAAGTAAGTGATTGAAACATCTTTGGGCAAATATCCTATAAAAAGTTACCTGCAACACATATATTATTACATTTTTGCATGTTCTTTAAAAAAAAAAAAGAAACTCAAACTCCTTAGCTCAATATCTCATTTAGATACATAATATCTATTAGAAAGTTAGTATGACATTATTAAAGACCACTTCAGTGCAAGGGTGTCAGATAACTATATATCAAGTACACATACTGCTGAGCTACAAAAGAAAATTCAAAAGGAATGTGTAAAGAAAAAAATCTATCTATATGCCCAATTTCTCTTGGAGTTTGGACCTTGGCAAATAAATACCTCTTTTAGAACGCAAGTACCATTTTAAGGAGAATTATAGAAGTAGAAGTTCTTACTCAGGTAGAAGAAGTTTCCAGGAAGGGAATTCTCATTCAAGTTGTTGTAAGTCAAATCAAGGACCTCAAGAGCTGGGAGAGAGCCAAATCCTCGAGGCAAAGTATTTAGTCTATTCATCCTGTAGGTTGAGAAAAAAACAGGACATCATGTACAAAACATATGTTTAGACAGAATACTCAGATCACCTATGTCACAAGCCTAAGAGCCCTATGTGAGGGGTTGAAAGCTTAAAAGAGGTCCTAGTTCTATGATCACTATGTTATTTAACGAACCTAGTATTATATAGTCCAGGCCATGAAATATTTGAAAATGTCTTCATGGTCATTTTCTCCAATGGTGATGCTCAGTCATTGTTGTACACAGAAAATTAAATCTTCTCAAAAATATCTGTCTTCTAGAGAAAACTTCCTTATGGATGTAGCAATAACACCCCAAAAGAGACACAGTAAGCTTAGTAGTTTTCAGACTTGACTTTATTTCACTTATTTCTCCCAAGCGGAGGGGGGTGGGAAGGAGGAGGAATCTCTTTTCTGTTCTGCAGCTTCTAACATTCAAAGGGATGTCCAATTAGAATGGTGGTTACAAGGGACTGAGGGAGGGGAAATGGGGAGCAGTTGTTTCATGGGTGTAGAGTTTCAGCTTTGGATGATGAGAAACTTCTGGAGATTGACTACACAACAGTGTGAATAGACTTAACACAACTGAATCATACACTTAAAATGGCTAAATGTATGGTATGTGTATTTTAATACAATCGATATATATATATGTGTGTGTGTGTGTATATATATATATATATATATATATATATATATAGTCTCCAATAAAATATAAGGAAATTTTTGTCTATTACTCTCTTTTTTCATTTTTTAAGAACCTATTTATCTTAACACAGTTCTGAACTTTGTGCAAAGTTATAAATGATTTTTAAATCTTTTTTTAATCTAATACAGACTGGCAGATGTGGAAAAGTGGGAGGAACTGTGACACTACAAATAATCCTAGACATCCATCCTTCTCATATGAGCTACAATCCTGACCACACCCGCCAATCAGGCCTTGAAAGAAAGAGTGACCACCTCTGAATGCGTAAAGAAGGTTAACTTTACATTTAGCAAAATATCCTCCATGAATTCACAATTTGTGAAGCACATTTATACCATGTATTTCACCTGAATCACCAAAACTATCGTGTAATATAGGCAGGACAGCACTTATAATCATCTCTGAAATGTTGAGAAGGGGAAATAGGCTGAGAGAGGTTAAGGACCAAGGACTTTTGATAGCTGATGAGGGTGACAGGTGTCTGAGAGCACCCAGCACCTCCTGGAAGGCAAGGCACTTCTAATCATTAGACACCAAGGCAACTGAAGAAAAAGCCCGAAATAATGGGAAGTGCACAGATGTATACCTAAAGTCGGCGATTTTCAAACTTTTTCCTCTTACAGCACACAAACTAATTACCAAAATTATGCGGCCCGCCAGAAGAAATATTTTTTGTCAATCCAACAAAAAAAGAATAGTCATAAATTTTATTCATTCACACCTGCTGGCTATTGTTGTGTTATTGTTGGTTGTTGTTATTTTTTTACTTGACAATCTAGGGCCGTGGTTGGCAAACTGTGGCTCATGAGCCACATGAGGCTCTTGGCCCCTTGAGTGTGGCTCTTCCACAAAATACCACGGCCTGGTATTTTGAAGAAGTGGCGTTCAAAGAAGTTTAAGTTTAAAAAATTTGGCTCTCAAAAGAAATGTCAATCATTGTACTGTTGATATTTGGCTCTGCTGACTAATGAGTTTGCTGACCACTGATCTAGGGGAAAGAGCTCAGTGCCCTGACTAGCACGCATTGCATGTTTTAAAAATTCCTGTGGCACACCAGGCAAAAACTGCTGCCTTAGAAGCCAGGGGCATCTCACTGAAGAGAGTCCCCATCCAATCTCCTCATATAGTGAACCTGAACCTACTAAACTGCAGGTTTTCTTTCTCTTTGAGCAGTAAACCAATCCCCCCAAAAAGGTGAGGAACACAGCAGCGTCCCGTATGACTGACAGCAGTACGTGGCAGGAGCAGGCCCACTGACCTGGTAGGCGAAAAGTGAGCCCTGACTAAAATGACTCTGAAGGTCCAGAAATGGTGCTGCCAATAGCCCCAGCTACAAACAACGCAAGAAGCCGTAAGGATACTGGCTGCTTCCCTTGACACAAGCACATTCATAAGAACCAGAGAGTCTCTCTCTCTCTCTCTCTGCAGAATGATGGTGTGTGTGGGAGGCTTCCCCCACACTGGGTGCGAATATCTACCTCCATCTACATGGGTGGGATGTGTGTCCTCAGGGTCCCCTCCGAGCACTGCCACTCAAGATGTCCAGGAGAGGTTACAGTAGGGGCAGCGGAAGAACAGATCTAGATTTGAAATCCAGATCTAGCACCTGCTTCAATAACTTGAAAAAGTAATTCAGCTTCTCTGAGACCCAATTCCTCTTCATCTGTAAAATAAGGCTAGTAATTCCTTCCTGGCAGGATCGCCAGGAGGATGAGAGAAAACACATGAAGCACTTAATACAATCCATGGCTCCTAAGTGCATTCTTGAGAAATGACAGCTATATCTACAACTGTACTTCAGGAGGTTTGAGAGGAATTATGACTCAGCCCCAAAAGGCAAGCTCACCGTAGGAGATCACGGTAGAAACCTCAACTATCAAGGGTGGTTTTTCTATTTGCACCAAACCAGCTTACCCAAGTCACTTCAAGGTTGTGGCTCAACCATGCCAAGTGGGATCGATTCTATGTTTGCAGGTGAACATTTTCCAAATGCAAACATGGGGTGTACTGGAAAGGGGAAAATGCCTGCATGTGAAGGAGAAACTTAAAAATCAGATTTTTCTTTCTCTTCCTCAAAAGCCACAGGAAAGCCCATACTAACGCTTCCATTTTGGAACACTTGGCTCTCTGGAGGTTCTCCTGAGCTCAATAAAACCTTCCTAGCTAAAGGCAAGACTCTCACCTCCACAGTGACCTGGTCATACACTTAGCAGGAAATATAAACATCAAAAACCCAAATCCATGAACACTCAGCGCTGTGCTTGGAGAGAATGCCTAACTATTCATGAGATGAGCTCCAGCCTCTCATAGTGGAAAATTATACCAGAACAGCTGGCCACGGTCCTCTCAAAATGAGATTATCCTTGAAATAATTACTAACATGTACCCTCTGGTGCGTTTACAATTTTGGGGAAATAACTCATAAAATGAGATACATTTAAAGAATTAAGAGCATAACTCAACTTTCCTTTATTTATTCAGATGGCCTAAACACCCTTTCACTGGAATAAACAACAAATACTAAATACACTTAAAAAGCAGAGTCTGGTTGAGTGTGCCAGATTAGGCACGCATGTGGCTTAACTGTAGCATCTCAGTGTGTACATTTCATTCAGGCTGCTTAGTCTAAGGAGTGTGCTCTATATAGCTTGCCATAAACAGACCTGTGCAAGTGTAATACAGTATGCCATTGAAGACAGGAGTATCCTTTCTTGAAACTCATCTTAATTCCTTTCCCAGAGAACTAAGAATTTAGTTCAAACTTTGACAACCCTATCTATATAGCTAGATAATTAAATACAGAAAACTTTACACAATCATTAAAGTACTGAGAGCTGGAAATATGCACACAACTCCTAGGACAATAAAGAGGTGACTAAGATACATTCAATAAAAGAGAACCTTTACAACTCCATTCTAAGGCACCTGGAACCCAGCCAAACAAATTCCAGAGCCTGGCTCCACCTGTGTTTCTATTTCAGCTGCCCACAGCAGATATCTAAGTATCATCCCATCTCATTCATACAGTCTTGCCACTTTTAGCTCCTCTGTATTTTTCACATACCACCATCCCTCCCCAGCCTCCATTCACACTGCCCAAGTTCTCCAGGAACATTAATCTAGCATTCTCACGAGTCTCCTAACCTTCTGCAATTCCTCCCTGCAGCCTCTCTTCACACATCCTTCATACAAAAATCTGAACCCATATCTTTCCTGCCACTCTGCTATGCAAAGTCCTCAATGGTCAGCATGATAAAATTGGAGCACCTTTATTTGACACACAGGCCCTTCATTAGCACATTGACTGCTTGCTGATGACTTATCTGTTTACCTTCATTAGCACATTGACTCCTTGCTGATGATTTATTTGTTTACAGCCTACTTTCCCAACTGTGATGGATGCCCCACATGGGCTGGATGGCCACTAACTACAACACAGCCTGGTATGGAAGTTCAAGAAATACCCATTAAATGAAGAGGAGAAATTCATGCTTCTCTTCTCCCCTCTTTCCATACCACAACTTCCTTCACATTTCTTACTCCGCAACACCAAACCACCTGCAATGCCCAGAACATGCAGGGCTCTGAGCTTTCAAACATGTCATCCTCACAATCGGAGATGTCTTCCCACTGCTGGGAGTCTGAGAAATTCCTTCTGATGCATCAAGTCTGGGCTCAAATACTATCCCTACAGGATCTCTTCCCCTGAGAACCTTCCCTGTAGACTACTGAGCCCCCTGCTCCCTCTCCCACTGCACTTCTAGAACCTGCCACACACCAGTGACCCAGCCGTACCCTGTCACTGTTCGCTAACAGCCAGCTCTGCCTCTATCCTGACCGCCAGGGACTGCGATTTTCACCACTGGCTCCCAACACTAGCAAAGTTCTTGATGCAGATCAGGCACTTACATAGTCACAAAATAAATGAATAAAAAAAATGGTGATGATAATAGTTATCACTTATGTACTGCTTACTATGTATCATGTACTGTTCCTAGCACTGATATGTAAATAACAACTAACTTAATACATAAAAAAATTAATAAGAAGAATACATATAGTTTTATATATCTAGTATATGTATCGAGTTTTAGATTCTTTACAGATGCAAATTAAATAGTATGACATTAATTTTCAAAACAAAGACCTAAAGGGAAGATCCTTTCTTTGGGTATATAGTCTCATGGATGGGGGAAATCTCACCTGACCGAAAGTGTTCTTTCCCCTTCTTTAAACACTACTTCCCCTTTGACGTTAGGGAAAAAATGATCATTGATCTTAAAAAGATAATCTCTCAACCAGAATGAATATCAAAATAGTATCTAACTAAAAACTCCCCGTGGAAAGAATAAACTAAACTAAAACTCATTCTATGAATGAGATTTTTCCCCATGATAAATACCTGGCCAGCTTCTATTACCATTCCATGTAAATCACTACCTTACTAGAGCATTTAATGGCTATGATTTCATGAATCTATTATTTGGCCCAGTGAATAAAGCCTGAGTGGGCGGTTTTATCTGAGAGCGGTAACAATGAAGCTGGCATTAAGAAGCCCATACTCTGGGTGGTATCTATGATGTCTGATGAACAGGGTCCTCTGCCCGACAAGGCCCCGAGAGTGGGGGCCATCAGGAGTAAGTCTCTTCACCTCTCTCGGAAAGGGCTTGGCTTTCTCTCCTGGACATGAAAGCAGGAGTACCTGCCTGCTCTCCCTTGTCATGGCTGAGAGGGCCAAATGCTGGCATGAGGACTTTGAAAACTATAAAGTAATATATGGAGCAAGGGATTATTCTTCATTGATACCTGCCTTTGCAACCTCAACTGAACCAAACTTCCTCCTTTCATCGTTGCATTAAGAGAGACATAAGACTAGAACCTCTTGACTAAATAATAGAATTGCAAGAATCAAGATAGCCATGTTAAGAAATGTACCCTCTCCTCAGAGAAGGAAGGTGCTTTGTGAACTACCTCTACTTGACACAGAGAGCAGAGTCAACCACATTACAACTGGCCTGGACAGTTAAAGCTAAGCAAATAAGTCCCTTCAGGATCAATATCACCGAAATAAAATTTTATTGGAAACAAAGTACAGTAAAATAAAAAAAATAAAAACACAACCCTTAGTGCACCAACATTTAGCTTTTCAATTAGTTCTCAAAGAGATCTGCACTAATGTAGGCCATTGCAGGGATGTATTAAAACAATAAAACTTAGAAAAAACCTAAAACATAAGAGGAAATGAGGAATCAGCTCCTCCCATGCGGGAATCTGGATGCCCCCACCCCTGCCCACGCCACAGTCCCTCCACCTCCTCCTCACTTCCTTCGCCCAATAGATACTCACCCGAGGTTCAGGTGCTTCAGTTTCTGAAGGCTGCTGATCTGTGTGGGCAGCTCCTCAATCTGGTTATTAAAAAAGTTAAGCACTTCCAAATTCTTCAGCTCTGCTATGTTTGCAGGCACAGCTATGGAGACAAAAATGCTGATTGTGAACTCAGAACCTTCACCCCTCATAGGAATGCCAGCAACAAATTGCATTTTTCTTCATGTGAAAGGAGAATTATCCAGTATGATCATCTAATTCACGTATACTTACATTTTGTATATTTGAAACTCTTAGATTGTAACTCACCACTGAGTAGAAAGGGAAACGTTTCTTCAAAAGGCAAAGAGAATATCTGTGCCACAAACATCCTGTATTACGAAGCATATAAACTTTTAATCGTCACACAATGTCTGATATGTGCACTTTTCCTTCCTTCTGGTTTCCTTGCAGCAAGCTAGCTCCAAGGCCCATTCTTAATGATACCTTCATCAAGCTGTTTCAATAATCTGGTATCTGAAGAGCTGTTCTCTTCACATTGCACGAAACCACCACAATTTAAGTCTGACCTTAAATGATAAAATATTCAACTTACCCAGACCCTTATTTTGTCCCTGACCTTTGCACCTTGATCAACACAAACACACACACACACTACATGAGCTTAGCAACAGATCAATGCACTGTTATTATACAGAAATAGGAAAAACCAACTCAGTAGCATGATATGAATACTAATAGGCAGGTCAAAGGTTAACATATAACATTTGGGGCCTGACAGGTTCTTCCTTCCTTACAGTATACCTGCAAATACAAATTTAAAAGCAAAGGCTTCTTTCTCTCAAAAGTACTAATTCTCAATTGATAGCAGAAATACTTCCCATAGATTGTATTGCATGTATCCATTTGCTGATTCAAGTTTCCTATAAATATTTTATTGGCCATGAACTTATTGTCCATGGTTCATGCAAGCACCAATCCCAAATCTATGCAGGTAACTGAAGCCATTGACATGGGCCTTGGGCACTACACAAGAATTCTGTCTCATGTCAGTACATGTGCCTTGCATCCCACCAATTCCCTCCAAGGAATGGTCCAAACTGGTGAGAAGCACTACAGAGGTGTGTGGGAAATTCCAAACAGACATCTAAAATACTTACAGAGAGCACCATTCCAAGAACTCCAGTGTGTAACTCTGGGGGAATATGTTCAATCTAGTTTGAGGTCATCATTTCAACTTTATATGTCTAAGGTATTGATGCCATGATTTCTTTTAGAGAGAGGAGGCTTGGTAAGAGACAAGGGGAATGCTTTCCTTGGAGGAAGGGACTGTAAAGAATACAAATCATTCCAGACTAAGGGACTAGGAAGCAGTGATCCAGATGGAAAATGAGCAAGGCATGTGGATTTGTTTCTGAAGTGGCTGGTGGTAGGAATGGGACAAGAGGACAGATTTTAAGGGGATAATCGAGGCAGCTGGAAAACCACACTTGGACACCAAAATGAATGCATGTGAGCCCCGCCTATACAATTTTACTACAAAAGCACATTTTTAGATGTGTAGTCAAAAACTCACTTTTATGCAAATGAATGGCATTCACTTTATGTAAATGATCATGAACAAAATCAGGCTGTGCCTGCTGAGTCGCCAGGTGTTAGTTTACCTGTTCTAAACCTGGACCATGAAGTGTGTGAGCTCCACACTGCTCAGAGATCTGCCCGTTCTCCTGTTCCCCCTCCAGCTACCACAAAGTTTCTCTCCTGCCTTCATCTGATTAGTTTGAAGAGCAATAAAGAAACTTAGCGCAACCAGGAGAAAATGATGATCCCAATTTAGCCACAAACCAAGAATAATGCAGCCAGAATTACTGCTGCCTTTCCAAAGTTACTTTGCCAATGCAATTAAATGTTGGTCTGAAGGTACCGCCTTTTTGACAGGATGAGAGATTATTTCACTCTCCTTGCTAAATCAGTCCAATTTAAAGCCACAAATTATGTGAAATGTGATTCAGGGCTGTTTTGTGGACATAAACAATAACCCCACATTCAATTTACGAAACCTCTCCCAGAATTTTGGTGTGCATGTGAATTGTGTGTTTAGGACTCCATTCAAGCTAGGCAGGGGGAAAAAATTACACACCTAATATTCTCCCTAAACCATAGAGTTTTTCCCATGACCAAAGTAAAAAGCAAAAAAAAATTAACATTCAAACCTGTGTAGATAGGATAACATTCGCTCTTTCAACCAATATTTAGCGAATGCTTATTATGTGCACAGCATCATACCTGTAGCACCTAGCATTTCAATACTTTGAGAATAAAGTAAGAGGGGCATACTATTTAAAGAAAGTAATCTACAAAAGGAGTAACAGAGTCAATAAATGGAAATAGGCCTAGTGCTTCAAGAACAAACTACAGCAAAACTGCCCATAAAAAAGTAACCAACTAACATAAAAACTTGGTGCAATAACTGAGCTACGCACATACATGGCAGGAACAATTTATGAAATTGTTCATGAAAAGGTGGCAGCAATATGTCACTGGTCAGAATATTCTGCTGGAATTTTTCAAGATATCTATGTGACACATTAGCAAGAGTAGTATTTTAAACTGTTAACTAAACAATGAGTACCCATATATTTCTAATTATGGGTTTATAATGTTCCTTTCTTATCAATCTGTCCAGATTCTGACCAGGACCCCAGCAGTACACACACAGCCTGTAGACAACATGGAGTTTAGCACATCAATGAGAGGCAGCACAGCGTAGGAACACAGGAGGCCCTCCTGCACTGAGGCTGGCTTTGGCATCCCCTTTATCAGCCCTAAAATCTCCTGTGTCCTCACGCAACTCAACCTCTTTGGGCCTCTGCTTCCCTCAGGCTGAAGTGAGGAGGCCAGATTGTGACCATTTCTAAATTCTCTACCTCCTGGCTTAGACATTCTATGATTCTAAGAAGAGCTAGACTATGAAAATCAAGGATAAGGAAACTCAGCCATGTAGAACTTTGCTTATGACAAAGAATTTATTTTTTTAGTATCATTTTCTGCCCAACAATGAGGGCTACTTTGATTTCAGTTGCTAGATTTGGGAGAAAAATCCCTGACTACTTGCAGGTGTCCTCTAGCTTGCAAATGCCTCCTTCTCTGGTCACAGAAACACTCCACTATGTTTTAAAAGGGTGACAAAGACATGATGATGTCACCCCCAAAACTATGCCCAAGGATGGGTCTCAAAGTATCTTCAGACAATCTAGGAATCTGAAGGCTATCAAGATAGAGTCCCATCTCGTGCAGGCCCAGACTCAGCAGTCAGCCCTCCAACGGTTTCTGAATGGTTCCACAAGAAGCCGAAAGTGCCAACTAGGACTCAGAAGTACAAAGGGGACTCACCTAATCTTCTACATTAAAGTTTCTTTAAAAAGCTCCCCCAGGCAGAAAACACTCGCTGGACACAGAGTATTAGACCTGAGCTCCACCTGAAAGAAACCTCTGACTCAGCTCTATTCCTGAGAAAGAGCATGACTTCTAGAAGCATAGAGATCTATCCTCATCAGCTACATTTACAGCAGGCACTGCTCCCAGGCCTTGCACAGCCAAAGAACAGGCCTGAGTCAGTGTTACACGCTAGAACACACTCCCCCTGCAGCGTGCAACAGGGAAGCATCTCCTCCAACAGAAGAACCTAATAAACTATTCTTAATGACAACTGCAGATCACTCTAGGAGCATTTAATTCTAAAATATAAATTTAATAATTCCACAACCAATAACTTATTTGTAAAGCACTTTAGGAGTTGATTCACACAATAATAAATAGCAGAGTATGCTCTGGAATGGGTTGTCCAATATGCAACCACTAGTTGAATTTAAATCTGGATTGGGAATGCAAATTGGTCTAGTCATTATAGAAACAGATGGAGGTTCCTCAAAAATTTAAAAATAGAACTACCATATGATCCAGCAAAATTTACTCCCAGGTATTTAGCCAAACAACCTAAATGTCCATCAACAGATGAATATATATATATATATATATATATATATATATATATGTAGTTTATTCAAAGACAAAAAGAAGGGGAAAAAAAATCCTGCCATTTGTGACATGGATGAACCTTGAAGGCATTAAGCTAAGTGAAATAAGTCAGACAGAGAAAGACAAATACTGTATAATGTCACTTATATGTGGAATTTAAAACAACTCATAGAAAAAGAAAGCAGATTTGTAGTTATGAGAAGCAGAGCTTGGGGGGATGAAGAAACTGGACAAAGGTATTTAAAAGGAAATAGAAAATTTTAATAAATTTAAATCTAGATTAGTTGAAATTAAATAAAATTAATTAATATAACTCCTTGGTAACACTAGCCACATTTCAAGAGTTGTTAGCCACATTTGGCTACTGATGACCATCCAAGGCAGCATGTATATGAAACACTGCCATCACAGATACTTAGGAATAAACTTAGCTAAGGAGGTAAAGAATCTGTACTCAGAAAACTACAGGACATTGAAAAAAGAGATAGAAGAAGACATAAACAAATGGAAGAACATGCCATGTACATGGATTGGTAGAATCAACATCGTTAAAATGTCCATACCACCCAAAACAATTTATAGATTCAATGCAATCCCCATTAAAATGACAATGGCATATTTTACAGACCTAGAACAAACTCTCCAAAAATTCATATGGGATAAAAAAAGATCCTGAATAGCCATAGCAATCCTGATAAAGAAGAACAAAGTTGGAGGGATCACAATACTAGATATCAAAACACTGTTCTCAAAACTGCCTGGTACTGGCACAAGAACAGACATATAGATCAATGGAATAGGACAGAGAACCCAGAAATTGACCCAAGCCATTATGTTCAATTAATATTTGACAAAGGAGGCAAGAACATACAATGAAGTCAAGACAGTCTCTTCAATAAATGGTGCTGGGAAATTTGGTCAGATAATGCAAAAAAAAAAAAAAAATGAAACTAGATCACCAACTTACACCATACACAAAAACAAACTCCAAATGGATAAAGGACTTAATTGTAAGACAGGAAACCATAAAAATCCTACTAGACTCCATAGGCAGCAAAATATAGACATTTCTCGTAGCAATATCTTTACCAGCATAACTCCTAG